TTTCAGTCCGCAGGCCGATGCTCTATCCACTGAGCCAAACCGGTCAGGGCAACAGGCGACTTTTTTAAGGGATCCGTGGTTTAATCGCGGTCCATGGTTCCAGAAGAGAACAGAGAGATGAGAAGTAGATGCAAACGCCAAGTCAGTACCTTAGCATGTTATTCTGCACTCGGGGGGAGGGATTTGTCCCAGGAAAGTCTGTGCGTCCCTCAGGAGAGAGAGAAGCAGCAGGGCTGCCTACAGGGCAGTCTCAGGCTCCCCAGGGGTGCAGGCTCCTGGAGCGGGTTGGCTGCCTTCTGTCCCCTTCCTGGGGTGCAGCCTGGGTGCTGGGCGCTGGTGCGGGTGGCTTGGACTCAGCGCGGCACCAGGAGCCCGTGTCGCTCAGTCCCCTCTGGGGCTGGCACCTCCTGGCTGGTTCAGGAGCCACAGGGCTGTGCGGTCCGGCACCTGGGCCTCCCCTTGAGGTGACTGCGGACCCGGATCGCGTTCCTGGCCCCTCTTAGCTCCGGGAACCTCCGCGTCCCAGGGGCCAGGCTGGTAGCCCTCCGCTCCGGGAGCCAGAGGCAGGGGGTCGCAGGAGGGGCGGCTCAGCGCAGGGAAGTTGTCCATGGCCCAGGCCCAGGCCTGTTGGCGGTTCAGGCCCAGGGGCAGGGTGGGCTCCAGGCACACACACCGCATCCAAGACGGGTTTCCAAGGTGGATGAGGCGGGGTGGGTGCAGGGGAGGAGGGAATCAACAACAGGCGATTCCTGCATCCGGGTCTCAGAGACTCCGGGGCTTTGGTACAGAGAGCGGGACCTCAGATACGCAGAGGAACGTCCCAAGTCCTGCCAGAGTCACCATTAGGATGTAGCGACCCTGGATCGCATAACTCAGGGGACCCCACAGAAGCCCACCCTTGCTGTCAGCCCTGGGAGTCCCCAGGGCGGGATGACCACACGCGGTGTTTTCTGACTTCCACAAACGGGTCTGAGAGATGCTGGGGACATGGTATCAGGAAAAGGGCCTCTGGTCCACAGAGGGGAGGGCCCAGGTCCTGTTGGAATCAACCTCGGATGCAGAGGCGAGGTCTTTAGGCCTCCGCCTGGCCAGGGCCAGAGGCTAACGACCTCGCAGGGCCCGCAGTTCCTTCCCCTTCTCGTTTGGTCGTCCTTCCGGACGTGACGGCCCTAGGCTATTATTAGTATAGATAATATTCACATATATATATATCACATTTTTGGTTCATTCATCTCTCTGTGAGCATTTAGTTTGTTTCAATGTTTGGTTATTAGAAATAATGATGCAGTCAGTGAACATTGGGGTGTAGATGTCTCTTAGAGATAGTAATTTCATTTTTTTCAGCTATATTCCCAGAAGTAGAATTGCTGGATACTTTGGTAGTCTTATTTTTAATTCTTTGAGGAACCTCCATACTGTTTTCCATAGTATATGTAATTTACATGCCCACCAACAGTATACATGATTCCCTTTTCTCCACATCCATGCCAACATTTATTATCGCTTGTCTTTTTGATGGTAGTAATTCTGACATGTGTGAGATATCTCATTGTGGTTTTGATTTGCATTTTCCTGATGATTAGTGATTCTGAGCAAATTTTCATGTACCTGTTGGCCATTTGAATATCTTCTTTGGGAAAATGTCTATTCAGGCCCTGTATACCCTTTAAAATTGGATTACTTATTTTTCTCCTGTTGAGTTGTATGAGATCCTTATATTTGGGGTATTAATTTCTTTTTTTAAAATATATTTTATTGATTTTTACAGAGAGGAAGGGAGAGGGATAGAGAGTTAGAAACATCGATGAGAGAGAAACATCGATCAGCTGCCTCCTGCACACCCCTACTGGGTATGTGCCCGCAACCAAGGTACATGCCCTTGACCGGAATCGAACCTGGGACCCTTGAGTCCGCAGGCCAACGCTCTATCCACTGAGCCAAACCGGTTAGAGCTGGGGTATTAATTTCTTATCAGATATGTGCTTTGCAATTATTTTCTCTCATTACACAGGTTTTCTTTATACTCTGTTGATCATTTCTTTTGCTGTGTAGAAGCCTTTTAGTTTGATGTAGCCTACTTGTTTATTCTTTCCTTTATTCCTTTTTCTTGTAGTGTCATATCCATAAAATCATTGCCAAGACCTATATCAAGCTTTTTCACTATATTTTTTTCTAAGACTTTTACGGTTTCAGGTCTTACCTTAAGTCTTCAATCCATTTTGAATTGATTTTTGCGAGTGGTGTAAGATAGGGCTCTAGTTTTATTCTTTTTCATGTGAATATCCATTTTCCAGCATCATTTATTGAATAGACTAGCTTTTCTTCATTGAGTACTCTTGGCTTCCTTGTCAAATATTAGGTGATCATGTATGTGGGGGTTTATTTCTGGGCTCTCGATTCTTTTCTGTTGGTTTAAGTGTCTTTTTATATGCCAGTACCATACTGCTCTTTTTATAAATTTTTATTAAAGTTTAGTAGCCATGCAATATTATATTGGTGTACAATATAATGATTCGACATGCATATACCTTACAATGTGATCAGCACACTAAGTCTAGTAGCCATCTGTCACCATACAAAGTTATTACAGTATTGACTATATCCCCTGTGCTGTACACTATATCCTTGTGGCTTATTTATTTTATAGCTGGGATTTTGTCCCTCTTACTCATCTTAACATTTTTTACCCATCCCCTATACATCCACCCTTCTAGCAGTCATTAGTTTATTCTTTGTATCTATGAATCTGTTTTCGTTTTGATTTTTAGATTACACATATAAGTGAAATAATAAGGTACTTAGATCTCTTTCTCTGACTTATTTCACTTAGCATATCACTCTTTCAGTGGTTCTCAACCTTCTGGCCCTCATGTTGTGACCCAACCATAAAATTATTTTTGTTGCTACTTCATAACTGTAATGTTGCTACTGTTATGAATCGTAATGTAAATATCTGATATGCAGGATGGTCTTAGGCGACCCCTGTGAAAGGGTCGCTCGACCGCCAAAGGGGTCCCGACCCACAGGTTGAGAACCGCTGCTCTAGATCCATTCATGTTGTAGCAAATGGTAAGATTTCATTCTTTTTCTGACTGAGTAATATCCAGTCATATATATATCAAATCTTCTTCACACACACACACACACACACACACACACACACACACACACACCAAATTTTCTTTATCCATTCATCTAACAATGCACACCCAGGTTTTGCTTTCATATCTTGGATATTGTAAATAATGCTATAATGAACATGAAGGTGCATATATCTGTTCACATTGCTGTTTTCATTTTCTGATAGATGGATTCCCAGAAGTAGAATTGCTGGGTCATATGCTAGTTCTATTTTTAATTTTTTTGAGGAAACTCTGTACTTTTTTCAATAGAGGCTACACCAATTTACAATTCCACCAACAGTGCACATCTATCCCCTTTTCGCCTCAATCCTTGCCAGCACTTGTTGTTTGTTGATTTATTGATCACTAGAGACTTGGTGCATGAATTCATGAATGGGGTGGGGTTCCTTGGCCTGGTCAGCAATTGGGAGCCAACTGGGGCCATCTCACCCAGTCCCAATTGAGGCCAATCAGGGCCGGCCAGCTGAGGGGAGGGACTGCAGGAGGTTGGCCAGCCACAGGAGGTTGCTATGGGAGTGCACTGACCACCACGGGGCAGCTCCTGCGTTGAGCGTCTGCTCCCTGGTGGTCAGTGCACATCATAGCAAACAGTCGACTGGTAGTTCGGTCG